CTTTAGTTTGGTCAAGCTGGGCGGTTGTGCAGAAGCCATGGTCATTTTTTCGAGAGTTCAACGTTACAAGTACGTCACTTTTTCGCTGCTGGACTCCAAGCGAGTTTTGTAGCTGCCGCTCTGGCTCGCTTTATCTCCCGCTATACCCAGCGCTCTCGAATGCAGCCTGTTGCAGTAGCAAGAAAGCTGAAAGTCACATACTGTTCCAGTCTACGGGAGCCTACGTGTCGGGAAGCAGTTTTTAGCTAGTTTTCAGACCGCGTATATACTAGAGCAGTTTCTGGCCATTCTAGCCTGAAAACACTCCCTTCTGGTAAAGAAACAGCAGCACACAAAGAGTGTGAAAGCCCCCTAATTGCATTACACGCTGCCAATTTCCTACTGTCGTATAACTACCATATACCCATTGTGGTTTATGCAAATGAGTTGACATACAGCTAAAGTATGGGGAAATCGTATGGCCTCTTTATGGTATAACTATACCCGTAAACTCAGCAGGAAGCGCTCACTACGCGTGTACGTTGTTTGGACTAGTTGGAATTCCTTTGATCTTACTCTCAGTCATCATACAAATTTAGTTAACATATAGAATATGATGTAAAGCTTACCTATTCAAGTAAAGAAGCCATTTATTAAGAGTTTCATTAGTTACGCATAGAGCTAAGGTTGTGTTAGGGCAGCTACGGAAAACCTCAGCTGGCTGGTTACACCAGAGACACCCACACAAAATTAATGTTTGCTTAGCTGCTAAGACTTAAACCTGCAGCAAACTAATCGTGAGGATATTGTTTAAACAAAACACAATACGGGGTATTCTCTCTCTCTCACTCACTCTCATGCATCCTAATACACTCTCATGTTCCTCAGTTACAACAGCGGGGTGGTTACAACAGCGTGGTAACTATGGTGATAACCACGTACACAGGGTACTAGACCATTATGTAACTGCTTATGGCCAAGCTGTTACTCCAGCTGTACGTATAATATAGCTAGCTATACAAGTGGAAAAATCATTTCTTCAAAATGAAGGGGGATATAGGGATGGCTTGAAGCACCAAAAAGGAAGAAACAAGGGGTCATTACACAGCAAAGATGCACCAAGCTACATGACACCATCCCTATATCTTTGTCTCATAGTAAACTTTACTTGTGAACTATAATTACCCTCGGCGCGCATGCGCAGCGAGGGTTACGTCTGTGTGTCTGTTACTCTTCATCTCACTTCTGGAGTGTTCGTTCGTCTCACAAAGGATACCACCTACTGAACGGGCAATGAAGGTCAGAACTTTCGAACGGTTTTCTCTGAAAACGCTCCGTTGCAAAGCTAGAGCGCGAAAAAGCCAATGCAAATACACAACGGCTTACTACGAGCATGATCGATCCGCGTGCTCTACGTACATCGGAGGCACCAGAAGATGGAACGCAGGGCGTGTATCGCCTCTCGCATGCTAGCTAGTAGGGTAGTTAGCCCGCGTCAGACTCTGCGCGAGTTGGCAAGAGACCACGAGTAACAGCTAAAACTAAACCCAGCCCATCAATTAGTTGTACGGGGCATGCGTTTACTTACGCGTGCGCGTCACCGTGCGCCGAGGGTTTACACTTCAGTGCTTTTCACAACACAAAGATATAGGGATGGTGTCATGTAGCTTGGTGCATCTTTGCTGTGTAATGACCCCTTGTTAACCCTTGGCGCGCATGCGCAGCGAGGGTTACAGTAGTTGGGTCTGTCTGTCTGTCAGTCTGTCTGTCTGTCTGTCTGTCTGTCTGTCTGTCTGTGTGTTACTCTACATCTCACTTCACGGGTGTTTGTTCGTCTCACAAAGGATACGATCTACTTAACGGGCAATGAAGGTCAGAAAATATGTGGGGTTTTCTCTGAAAATGCTCCGTTGCAGAGCTACAGCGCGAAAAAGCCAATATGCAAATACACAACGGACGGGACGACGGCTTACCACAGTCGGATCGATCCGCGTGCTCTGCGTACCTCGGAGGCACCAGAAGATGCAACGCAGGGCGTGTATCGCCTCTCGCATGCTATCTAGTACTGTAGTTAGCCCGCGTCAGACTCTGCGCGAGCTGGCAAGAGACCGCGAGTAACAGCTAAAACTAAACCCAGCCCATCAATTAGTTGTACGGCGCATGCGTTTACTTACGCGTGCGCGTTACAGTGCGCCGAGGGTTTGCACTTCAGTGCTTTTCATTTTTTCCTTTTTGGTGCTTCAAGCCATCCCTATATCCCCCTTCATTTTGAAGAAATGATTTTTCCACTTGTTTCCACTATTTTTCATGCCTTCTGCATTTTCAGTCACTCTGATATTCATGGGTGTTTTAGAGATAACTGTTGAAAGCAGAAGCTAATGTACCTGAAGCAGGGTGTATGCGTAGTGTCTCCAACAACGATGCAATTAGGTTGTGGCACATATGGTGGGGTGGTTTCGTAGGCAGGCTTCAGTAATCAGACTACAATGATAGTTATAACCTGGGGGACAAAAAATGAAGGCGCTGGGCAAGGCCCGCGTAACACTGCGCACACTGCCAAGTTGCTCCTCGTACAAATCAACAGCAAAACGCAAGCTAGCCAGATAATAAAAAATGTGTATACTGACTTACAGAAAGCACTGGAGGATAAGAGTTCTCTGCAGGCATCCTGGCTTAGTCTCGTAGACCTGGTTCACGCACGAGATGCGCGCGAACCCCATTTTGGGGAAACGCCCTCCTCGGCGCATGCGGCTCACTGATGCAGCAAATGGCGTTGTCCAGTGACTACCGTGGAAGAGCTCAACGATCTACCGTAGTGACGTGACTTGCGGCAAGAAACAAGCGATCGCTTGATATGCGTGCACACCTCCGGCAAATTTGGAGACGTTCTGTGAAAAAATCAACGCTTCAACTGCTTCCGGTAAGGAGCTAGCGGGTCTGAAGAAGAAGAATATGATGATTATGATGACACGAAATCGCGTAAGTGCGAATTCTCTCGTGGGGAACTGAGGGCACGTAGGAAGTCTTGGGGCATATGTATAGCTAGGTATTGGCCTCTAGACAATTGCTAGTGATTTTGAAGCCATGGTGAGTCATTGTCGCTGAGTTTTGAGGCGTTTTGTACGCGGATCACGTGAGATTTCACCCTTGTCATCCCTATATAGAGCGTCTACCGACGCTCTGATATGGCCCTTTCGTAACTGGTCATAACCAATGGTGTAACTGGTCACCACTCTGTTGTAACTGCCTAGAACCCTGCTATATCCGGTTAGCACAAGTATAGCGCTGGCTATGGCCCTTCCGTAACTGGTTATTGCCATGTCGTAACTGGTTATGAGCAATTGTACACCCTCCAGAGAGATTGGCCTGAGCATGACGTCGGCTGCGCACACCAAGACATACGACTCGACAACATCTGTTTCCATCCCGAAAGGGGAACTGCAGTGCTGTTGCTGATTGACCTAAACAGGTCTTGCGAGGTTTCTTCCACCTCCCATCCCTAATTCTCCACCATGTTAATTACATCTGCCACGTTCCTGGAATACCGAAAGGCCAAGTTCAGTGATGAATTAGGGTGGTGGTGGTAGTCTTTGAAGAAGAAAGTGTTTGAGGCAGCGGCAATCGTGAGGATCTTGTTCAAAACATGCTGTGCATGCTTCACGGCCACTCAACCAATATAGGTGGTGTTCCCTCATACCGGTAGCTATCATCATGCAGCATGAACTTAACCAGTCAGGATCTCTACCGTGCCATGCATCACAGGCTTGTGAAGAAGTATAAATTAAGAGTGTCAAGGTAAAATTTAACCTGTTACATTTAATTGACACTGTTGCGATTCAAAACCTCTTCTTCATAAGGGAGGTTGGCAGAAAAATTATACTGGCTGTAGATCCTGAAAGTGTTAGCCTTAGGAGAAGGCACTGTCTTATGAGGAGAAATTATATAGATCAAGATTAAGTTTTTTCTAAGCATGCAGTAGGAATTTTATATTCCATTTTTATGCACTTCAGGGACCAAACTTTCGTTGGCACATTGATGGAAATGACAAATTGAAAGTATATGGGTTTTCAATGCATGAATGTATTGATGGGTATGTTAATTAGAGAGTCGGTAGACTCTCTATATAGGGATGACACGGGTGAAATCTCACGTGATCCGCGTACAAAACTCGGTGAGAATCACTCCCTAGGCCTTCAAAACACCAGAACAACGCCATTTGCTGCTTACTCAGCATCAGTGATCCGCGCGCATGCGCAAAGCAGGGGCGTTGTCCAATGCGCTTGCGAGCGTATTACCAGGGGAGTTGGCAGACCTGCAGAGGAACTCTCAGCCTCCAGTATATACCTTCTGTAAGTAAGTGTGCACATTTCCAACTGGCTAGCTTGCTGTTGATTTGCACGAAGAGCAACTTGCCAGAGTCTGCGTGGTGTTACGCGAGCCTTGCGGGGCGCTCAGTCAAATGGGCCTTCATTGATTCATCTGTTATACCCCACTATTACCTAAATGCTGTTGAAATCTATGGTAATCCAAATTATCGCATATAGCTAATAGTTATGAGGTTTTGTTGTGCAGGTCTGCCAAGAATTGTTAGAGGAGATAGGGGAACAGAAAAGTCTCGGGTGGCCTATTTGCAACCATTTTTAGGAAGAGATTCAAACCCTGTGGCAAGTTTTCAGTAATGGAAAGTCAGTAAGCAACCAGATAGCAATACTGAGAATATCAGTGCATCACAAAGAAGGTCTTTTGTTATTCATCTGCAGAGAATTGAACGCTTTTGGGGCACATTAAGGAAGTGGTTTACAGAGTGGTGGTTGGAGTTTTTCCATGTGCGTTATTTCACATGATGCTGCATTTTTTATCCTTTCCTATTGCAGCTGTTGACAGATGGTGGACACTTTGATGAAACTAATCCTATACATGTGTATGTTAATTTGTAAAGTTACAAGAATTTCACCTGCTTTTTCCAGTTACTGCATTCCCTAACTCTCCTATTTCTGGAGGAGAGTTAGGAATACCCATCTCATGCAAAGTAGACGTGGTGTAATATCTGGTATTCCTGACGAACTCTACAACATTCCTGATCTCCATGGTATTTGTACCACACTGAAAAATGTGATACGGTTAACATAATTATTCACTATAATTCTGCAGGTTTTGAGGATTGCACTTGCACTTGTAGATGACTTACAATTTTGTAAACCATACACAACCACAAAACCAGCCCCAGCCGGCATTGAGTTTCTTCAGTTAGTGGATATAGTCATGGAAGAGGATTGGCCAATGCCAAGCAACTATGAAGAGGCCTTAGACCTCTATATCAATCTACTGAACGAAATGGGGTGAACTACTCGCTTTCTGCTGTCATTTGCTTGTGCCCATGTCAAAAATTAACTATAGTTGTAGATGAAGTGACACAATTTTACAATCATGCATGATGCTGAAAGAAACATTTACATGAAAAAACATGTTTTACAAGTAAATAAAAAATCCTGCGGATTAGAAAAAGAGTGCATATAGGGATGGTATAAAAAGAAAGGGACACAAGATAGGGATGGTGTTTGTGGAAGCACAGAGATGCTAGCGAGGAGTTAAGGACTCCCACAGGTCATTACAACAGCCCTATATCGTCGTACGGTGGGAGTGAAGGTTATGAAAGAGTATTGCTAAGTACTGTATATACTACTTAATAATGATCGTTGTCATCGATATGTCATGCTACATTCCCATGGAGTGTATGCACATCAAGGTGCCAGCAGTTATGTGTACTGTCGTAATGTAATAATCAGCTGACCAAAACAATGTACATGCATAACATCATTACATGGAAAACATACGTATAATACGAGAAAACCTAATTCAAGTATGCAGGGTTGCTGATACTTATGCGAGGAACATTTTATTCCGTGGTCAAGCACCGATACGACCATATAGGGCTGTTGTAATGACCTGTGGAAGAAGAAGAAGATGATGAACAAAACTCCCTATCATAGCTCCATACATCTATGATGCTAGGTGACACGTCAATCCCTATATACTAAGTACTACCGTACTTAGTGATAGCATAGCTACATGTTTACTCACACGAGCCGACGCAATGTAACGACGGAGAACTAATGCAAACAAGGGATAAATTAGCCCTAAAAGACCAGAGCATAATATGTACCTTCGGAGCACGTCGTCCACTTCACGTCCGAGTCAATACTGCTTGGAACTCGCATAGCTAGCTAGCTAGCTAGCTAGAGACCGGTATACGTACGCATGCGCAGAAACCACGTGACTAGAATAGGAGTATAATGGAAATGGAAGTGGAATGGAAATGGAAGTTGTATGGAAATTGCAGAAAGTTTGATGGAAATGGATGGCCCCAAACAGCCATCATACATGATTAGTATCTGTTGCCACAGCGTCAAAGCGCGCTGCGGCCTTTATGTGGGCGCTAGCATAGCGAAAACACGCAAGGGTTACGGTTGCCAGGTCCACGTTGCTATGGAAAACGGCGGCGCGCGCCGATGACGTCGTATGCGCGCGTACACGTGTATATACACAGTAGTACAGGGCTAGGGGGGGGGGCGTAAGAACCGCAGGCCGGCCGGTTAACGAACCGCCCCGTCTGCTAAAAGATTTCAGCCGAGAGCAGTGTTCCTGGCCGGGAGAAGAGACACTGCCTGGAGACGAGGGGGCGTGGTGTGAATGTGTAAGTGTTTCGAGTCTTGGCTCGTGCTAGTGCTTTGGTTTTTTTCACGGCGCCTGTATATACAAACGCAGCTATACCGCAGCTATAAATTATTATGGCCACTCATCATCCTCACTGGCAAAAACATCTATCATTATCCAGTACGGGTTTTGGTGAAGACGAGTTAGGGGCCTTGTATGAAGCCTTATATCCCGTTAGAAATAGTTACAAATCGTTTGGTTTACAAATTGGAGTGAAGAAAAGTGAAATAGAAAGCATTGAGGTAAAACAAACAGATCCTGGTGGGAGATTGCTGGAGGTACTATCTGCCCGTGTCAAGAAAACAGAAACACTAACATGGAGAGATGTAGATAGAGCACTCAGGTCAGACTCTGTAGGTGAGGGTAAACTAGCAGACAGAGTGTATGGCCTCCTAAGTAGCAGAAAATACAGTGTGGTACACGAGGATGAATGTAAGCGACAGGCAGGTGCCTCAGAAATCGGGAAGACAAAAATATGCAAGAAGGTAATGCCTGAGAGGTCTACTATCCCAGGAAGAGAAATTTTAAAAGTGGCAGAATCAGAATATTCTAGCACAATTGGCGAACAAGAAGTATCATTTGACAGTGTCTACAGAAGAGAAACAGGCCACTTAAAAGCAGTTGCTCCTTATAAAATTAGAACGGGATACAAGGAAGTCAAGTTACATGAGAGAATAGAAAGGGAGGAACACACTTGGACAGATCAATATCATAGTACAAAGGCTCTTATTCCAGTGAAAGAGCGAAGTAAGAGTATGCGAGTAGCAACTCGCTCAAGTAATGGTAATACTAAAAAAGAGCGTAATAGGGAATTGTCCTTACGAAGGATAGCTACACCTTCGGAGTATGGTACTCATGAAGATAAAGTGTCAAGTGATAGCACTGAGTGTGACTACCACCAAGATTTGCAGGAGAATTCATCATCAACCGAAGGAGAAGGACAGACAGAACCTACTGATGATGCATTTTTAGAAAAGAATACCCGTGACGAAGGGGAGTATTGCTGCTCCACCAAGAAACAAAGGCACAGTGTGAAGTACATAACAGGAAGTAGCTCCGGCCCCTTATTTTTGCAAGGAGGAAAAACACATTACAAGAAAAAGGAAGGAGGGGAAAACGATTCATTTGAGGATTCTTCACCAGAAGGTGATGCTCATAAGACACTATCCGACGCAGAGCATAAAAGCCTCATTAAAATTTTCAAAAGATGTTTTGGCAAACTCTGCTGTGCCATTACAAATCCAGTAGAGACTGCTGCTCAATTGCAGGAGAAAGGGCTAATATCTCAATCTGTAATGAAGGATATGATCACGTCGCAAGAATCTCCACAGGTTAAGACAGTTACATTGATAGGAACAATTGAGAGGAAAATATGTCTCCAGCCTGCTCGTTTGTTCGTTTTGATTGAAGTGTTGCGGAAGAGTGATGTTCTACAGATACAGAGAACAGGAGACGAAATGTTGAGAAAAACAGGTAATTCCACACACACCCTACAGCTCGCTGCCATGGACACACAATCAAGGCTATATACATGCGGACAGAAGAGCCTAGCCAAACCTGCACTTATAAGCACAAAGGACAACTTTCTTCTCTTACTGACAATCAAATGCGAGTTTGGCTAGATCTTCCCTCTCAGTGCCTTACGGCCTTACTGCACACACCCACATTTGCGGCCTTGGCTATCTATTTATTACAAAAATCCTGCGAAATAAAAACATTCATAATATAGGGACACAATATACGGTTGAAATACAGGAAGCATGGTTAGCAAACAGATTTGAGCACGCTGACATCCCAACCCTATCACACAATCCCTATATTGTTGCCTGGTGTGCCACTCTTAGAAACTCAGTTTCGACTCTATAACTGTGTTGGTTACTCAGTAGCTTATTTTCAAGCTACGTATACAGTCCTGACAAAATTTGTAATTACTTCACCCAGGCAATAATATAGGGATTGTGTGATGGGGTTGGGGGTGTTAGCGTGCTCAAATCCGTTTGTTAACCATGCTTCGTGTATCTCATCCCTATCTTGTCTCCCTTTCGTTTTATACCATCCCTCTATGCCTCTTTTTTTTAAATTCGCAGGATTTTTAATTTACTTGTCTCCACTAATTTTTATATACTACTACGTGTATGTATCTCTGTGAAAGGGGGCAAGCCCCCTATAAAAATTATTAATAGAGGAAAATGCCTGTTGTTGTTTACAAATATGTGGTCGTCATGGAAATAATGTAATACACATGGATACAAAGTTTCATCTCCATGCGTGCTATCGTTAGCAAGTTTGAGGAGTGAAGAAGTAGATGTCTATTTGTACAATTTGTGGTCGTGATGGAAACGATGCAATATGCATGCATACTAAGTTTCATCTTCATGCGTGCTACCGTTAGCAAGTTTGAGGTAGTATTTTAGAGAAGAATGGCTGATGGTATAATACACTTAGCGTACCAGGTTTCATCTCTATGCGTTTTAAGTTTGAGGAGTGAAGGAAATATTTTAAAGAAAATTTCCTGAAGCTCTTTGTTGTTGTTTACAAACATGTAGTTTTCATGGTAATATGCATGTGTAACAAGTTTCATCTCTATGTGTTCAACCGTTTGAAGTGAAGAAATAAAGGTGCCTCATGCTATTTGTTGATGTATTGTTTTGATTTTGATGTTGGTGATTGAATATTATATATAAGTTTCGTGCACATTATAGCTCTTGCAATTTGTGAGTTACATGTGATCCCATTGTAATGTATTCCCTGGGGCTATTTGTTGTTAACCCTCGGCGCGCATGCGCAGCGAGGGTTGTCTGCGTGTGTGTCGGTCTGTCTGTCCCTCTGTCAGCAGCTATTCTCGCACTGCAGGCTACGAGGCGGCCCTATGAGCGATACCAACTTCTTCAGAACTACGCGAACCTGAAAAAGAAAAGGGCGATTTTCCCAAAACTACTGCGTTCGAGAGATATATATGCCGTGAAAACGCAAAAGCAAATGTGCATAATCGCACCAGCTTACCTCGAATGATCCGCTTGCTCTTTGTACCTTGCGGAGGCACAAGAAGTCACCACGAAGGCCGTGTATCGAATCCCGCATAGGCATGCTATCTTACAGTGTAGCCAGCCCGTGTCAGACTCTCCACGACCAACTAGCGTCGAGACCACGAATTAACACATACTCATAGCCCAGCCCATCAATTAGCGGTGCTGTGCATGCGTAATGCGCCGAGGGTTTGCACTTCAGTGCTTTTCATTGTTTACAAACAATTAAGTACACCATGCACATCTGGTTATGGATATCTACATTATTACAAAATTTCATGACAATATGTTCCTTTTTTGAGCACAACTTAGTTATGTATTGCTTGTATCTTACATACCTTAGGGTGGCAATTGTCAGCCCTCGGCGTGATGCACGCCAAAGGTTGCGTTACTTGGTTGGTTTGTTTGTCCGGTAAAATAGCGACATCAACGGGTTCAGCACTACACAGGCTAAATGGTGATTTTCGTGAAAGTGCCGCATTCAGAAGTTATGGCGTGAAAACCAAGTGAACAAGCCAATATGCAAATTAGCACAGGCTTACCTAGACCGGGTCCGCTTGCTCTGTGCATCTTGAAGGCACAAGAAGTCACAACGAAGGGCGTGTATCGACTCCCGCATGCTATATACTACTGTAGCTAGCCCGCTATAGCGGGAGACCACGAGTAAACGCATACTATTATAACCTAACCCATCAATTAGTCGTACCGCACATGCACAGTTCGTAGCTAGCCTGTGTCAGACTCTCCGCGAGCTACTAGCTGGAGATCACGAGTAAATGCATACTAATAGGCCCAGCCCATCAATTAGCGGTACCGCGCATGCACAGGGTTTTCAGTTTATAAGTGTGTCTGTCTGTCCGTTTGTCTGTCTGTTACCACGTTTTCTCCAAATACGCGCAACGAGGCAACAAAATAGCGTTACCAACGGGTTCATCGCTACACTGGCTTCATTTTAAAAAAAGTGATTTTCGTATAACTACTGCGTTCAAAAGTTATGGCCTGAAAAGCAAGGAACAAGCCAATATGCAAATTAGCACAGGCTTACCTCAACCGGGTCCGCTTGCTCTTTGCATTTTGAAGGTGCCAGAAGTCACAACGAAAGGCGTGTATCAACTCCCACATGCTATCTACTACTGTAGCTAGTCCGTGTCAGACTCTCAGCGAGCTGTAGCGGGAGACCACGCATATATACTAAAGCCCAGCCCATCAATTAGTGGTACCGCGCACGCGCAGTTCGCCGAGGGTTTACACTTTAGTGCTTTTCATTAATATAATACTATATACTCTCTTAAAGGTAAACCGTGTCTTGATAGAACAACTGCAGTCCCTCACCGTCATCTCAGCGAATCTCAGTCTGGTGTTCCAGGTATGTTTAATCACTTACAATGCAAGAAGATTATTATCTTGAATACTTTCGTCTTTAAAAGGTAACAAAGATGAAGTTTTACCCTATAGTGGGAAACTTGGTGCAGAAATTTGTATGCAATCCTCTCTGAAAGTAAGTCGCTCTATACCACGCTCCTGTTCAAATCCGGTATTTGCAGCTTATAAGAAATACTTGCAGTGTTACTACAGTGCTAGAACCCTAGCTCCAGCAGACAAGTACCTTCCGATTATGGAGGCACCCTACATTAACCTTGCAATAATTGGAAAGGGACACTATGATCCTAGCCAAAGAGATGAGTTTACCAAAAGTACACTCCATGGTGGAGTAGACCAGATTCTTCAGAATAAGAAACCTATTAACTTTGAAGACCTTCTCACTTACTATGAGGGTAGAAAACCAGTCAGGTTCGTTCTCGTAGATGGTCCTCCAGGAATAGGTAAGAGTACATTTGCCTGGGAAGTATGCAGGAGATGGGATGAAAATTTTCGGGAATACAATATTGTGGTGCTGCTTAAGCTGAGGGAAAAATGGGTACTTAATGCTACATGACTTTCTGACTTGTTCCGATATCCACCTGATCCTGATTATAGCAAATGTATTGCTAAGGAACTAAATGATTCGCATGGAAGAGATGTATTACTGGTCTTAGATGGGTTTGACGAAGTATCTCACAGCTTCCCAGAGAATTCTGTTATGAAATACATATTATGTAGGCAACTATTGCCCAACTGTACCATCATATTAACTACCAGACCATCAGCAAAACACACACTAAGACTTAACTTCCAGCCACAAGTCGATAAACATGTAGAAATTATTGGGTTTACAGAGGAAGAGAGAGTGAAGTATATTACGGAGGTGTTTAACAATGAACCAGAGCTTCAGGGAAATTTCCTGACATATATGTTCCTTGTTCCTCATATAAAGTCAATGATGTATATTCCTCTAAACTGTGCCATTATTGCACAAGTATATTATGAGTCACAGAGTAGTCAAGGCCTTGCTATACCTAAAACAAGAACACAGCTTTACAAGGCACTCACACATTCTCTTCTTGTTCGATACATGAAAGAAAGCAATCATGACTATTCTTCGGTGCTTCCTGAAAATTTAAACAAAAAAGACCTGGGCATGTTTAAAACCTTAGCCAAGTTTGCCTTTGATAGCTATCACAAAGGAAAATCAAGGAAAGTTACCTTTTTCAAAGAAGATATCCCTTTGGATTTTGCACATTTTGGGCTTATGAATGAATCCACTGAAATGTATGCCAGCAAAGGAGTGGAAAAAACCTTTTCATTTCTGCATCTAAGCCTACAAGAATACCTTGCAGCCTGGCACCTAGCCAACAGTTACGGTATTGATTTTCAGATTGCATATTATGGGCTTGCTCTTAGTACTTATACCTCACTTCAGCATCAATATCGCAACTACAGTAGTTGTAACAAAGAAGAAAGCGCTCTTTTATCATCAATAGAAAATGATAGGTCATCATTAGTGGAACCGGCCATATTTCTGGCTGGTATCACTGGCTGCAGATGCCAACCAGAGGGCTGTAAAAACAAATGGGAAATTTATTTGGGACAAGAAGGTCTGGAGCCCACCAGAATGCTGGTACATTCCCTTTATGAGACTCAAAACCCAAACATTATATCATGCTACTTTGCTGGTGAAGATTGTAGGAGGGATGTTGTTATAGGCCTTGGCTTACATACAGCTCATACACCATATGATTGCTATGCTCTTACATACTGTCTTCAACATTCTTTGGGTCAGGTCAATTTAGATTTCTACATTAATGACGATGATGTTTTACTTGTAAAAATATTTGTTAAAGGTCTAATAGACCACTGCAGTACTACACCAAGTCTAGCTCTAGAGCATCTAAGGCTATGGTTATTGGCTGATTCAGTTGAGGATGTTAAAACTTGTCTGTATCATATGACAAAAGCCAAATTTTTGCGAGAAACCAAGAAAATTGTTATATATTCAAAATCCAGGAGTTTGAATATTGCTCAAACATTTCTACAATCACTTATTAAACTTCAACACCTTGAGGTTCATATTGATTCTCCTACGTCTTGGGAGTGGCTTACTGCAATTAAGTCCCTCAGTGACCTGCGTATTTTGCACATATCTAGTGATGAAGGGTGTTGTCTTCCCCAAACTGATCTTAGTTGGCCAATCAAACATAAACTGACAGAAGTTGTACTTGACATCAAATATTCATCGCATGATCTTTGTAGTTCAACTGATATGCTTGTTTACTCTTTGTTGAAATCGGTTGTATTATCCAAATCAAGTCTCATTAAAAAAATGGTGTTACCAAACATAACTCGTGATATGATGGCTAGTGTTCATAACATTATACAGCACTGTCCTAATCTTGAAATGTTAGACCTAAAGAGATCCAGACTTGGCTATGATGGAATTATCTATATTTGTAGCGCACTGAGATATAATACCTCACTTAAATATCTTGTGATTGATGAAGATCTTCAGTTACCACCCTCAAGGATCACCAAACAGTCTCTCGTTCAGTTTATCACTTTTGCATCCATGGAAAGACTTAGTCTGCCATGTAAGACTACCTGTACTGACTTCCTTCTTGAATTAAACCGCATTCTCAAAGACAATAGGACTTTAGAAGGAATGAAGATCCAGTGTGGATTATTCCTCCCTCTCTCTGCTGGTGAACATGGGGAATACTGTCAGTGGACAGGTTGTGGACCTCTTGAACAATTCAACCTTAGAGCTGTTTGTAGTGGCATCTCTCCAACTCTCCGCAGATCATTCTCACTGTCAGATCTGACTCAGTCTCAAACTTTCTTGTTCTGGGACAATTGGTTGTCCTTTGTAGGGCCTAGGAAAGTATTCAAAGTTGATTTCAAAAAGTTATTTTCCTCCAGGAAGGATAGAAAAAAGGTTATGTTCACTCGTCCTTCGTTCACTGCTCCAGACACTCAACTTCTACGGCCGTTCTTAAATCTTGACCATCGTCTCAAGGAATGTCTGGAGATATCTGATTTTCACCAATATTTGGACATGTTAATGAGGACTTTTCAGGGGGTGATGAAAGAAGTTTCAAACATCTCTTTACACTAACATGCTTATTGTGCTGCAAAAATGAATTACTCCTAGCCATAGCACTTAACTCTTGATTTGAATGCATTCACCTACACCATTGTTAATTAATAGACAGAAAGCAACGATAGCACGTGTGTATAAATCAATCCAATAATTGGGCATATAATGTGCTCATAAAGTACACTGCAACGGTAAGTAATCGATTCAACTTTGGAAAACATTGAAGGGCTGAGAGGCAGCTAGCGGCCCAACACACAAACCACCGCACACCAAGCTTGATAATTAAAAGTGCTCCCCAAAGAGATTAACGATACCAAGTTTTTAACACTGTCACCATGAAACTTGAGTGATTAGGAAAATATTTACTCCAGCAAAGCAAGCAAGTGTGTGGGTGGTAATTCAATGATTACGGTCATTATAACAACTATTAATGACTGAAGCTCTAATAGTGCGCTTTATGAGTGATTGGCACAAGCTCGCGACACTTCTCCGAGACTGACGACTTTCAGGGATAGCTACTGCCCTCGTCACCAGTGCTCAAAGTTGTGAAGTTCTGTGTTTTCTTCTTTTCCCTTATCTGCAATCATTATAGAAATGTGCAAAATATGAGTGTTGTCTCTGGAAGAGGAGAGCGAATCTGAAGGGATGTTACCTAGTGATGAAGTTAGTGAATATGCACAATCATGCGTTTTACTTTGACCCATCGCCACAAAGACATTTCCCTCGAAACAACTGGTTTGATGAGGATTGCAACGCACAGAAAAGAATTGTCAACGTGGCTGGGAAAGACCTTTTAGTGGAATGGTTTACCTAAAAGAGAAGAGCACAAATACAGCTATATACACGGCAAGATATTAATTAATGCAGAAAAAAATCCAGGGAGTTTTGGATAACAAAGAAAGATAAGAGCCAAAATCAAGCATAGGTATTAAGCCAGAGGTATTATGTATTCACACTTGCATGAACGGAGTGATATTATCATGAACCACACTGATGCTGGCATATCCACAGAGCGCAAACCACAAATGGTACTTACGTACCTGAATTACACCAGAAAATTTCTTGTGAAGAAGTGAAGGTGTCAATAAAAAAAAACATGAAAAAAAATAAAGCACCTAGTCCTGATGGAATTCCAGTAGAAGTCTACAAGGGATTACCTCAACATATGCTGTATGTACTCACAGACCTTTTCAACCATGTCTTTAGATACGGAAAGTACCCTGAGAGCTGGGCAGAAGGTCTTATTTGTCCTATACACAAAAGTGGACAGAAGACTGACCCAAATAATTACAGAGGTATTAGCTACACTATTGAGGAAAGGTCTTCTCAGCAATTCTTTGTGACAGACTAATTGAATGGACAGAAGATAACCACATTCTACCTGAGGAACAATATGGCTTTAGGAAACATCGGCGAGCAGTTGATTGTGTATTTTTTATATACTCAATACAGCGCTGCCATAGAAAAAGCAGACAAAACGGTACTCTATGTCTGCTAGCTATGTAGATCTCAAGTAGGCCTTTGATAATGTGGTGGATCACCATCTGCTGTGGAATAAATTGCAACATATTGGCATTAGTGACACAAAGTTATAAACATTCTACAATCAATGTACAGAAAAGCTAATGCAAGAGTAAACTGTCCTCTAATTTGGCTACAGCAGAATTAGCCTGTCAAAAAGGAGTAAGGCAAGGCTGTAATCTAAGCCCTTAGTCTGTATCTAAGTGGGCTCGAAGTAGAGCTGGCAAAGATTCTGCTCTACAAGTCTGTGACCTGGACATTCTGACATTAGCAGACGATATCATTCTTCTTTCAAAAAGTGCGGCAGGGATTCAGAAACAGCTAGAAACACTTGAGATATTCTGCTCCAATTTCGAATTAGAGGTAAATACAGAGAAGACAAAGACCTGTGTTTTGGCACAAACAAAATCCACCTGTTTAAGTTTGGAAGCACCTATCTAGAAAGCGTCAGTGAATACAAGTACCTGGGAGTCTGGAAAGAAAAGTTTGTCAAAGCAAAGAATAACATCAACCTCCAGGCAACAAAGTGACTCACGTTCTCAAACAGTGTCTTACTAAACTAGCACATCCCCCTCCACCAACCTCTGTCAAGCTATTCAATGTAATTGTGTTACCTATTCTATGTTATGGAAGTGAAAGTTTTGGGATTTGAGTTAGATGAACAGCTTGAGAGAACAGAGCTGCAGTTCTACCAATACATTTTGCACCTCCCAGGAAATGCTTCCAATGCCGCTGTTCAAGGAGAATTAGGACAGTTCCCAATACACATGTTTTGGAAAGAAAGAATCTTTAAGTACTGGTGTAGATTAAGTTCGGGGAATGTGCCCATCTATCTCCAACCGGGCCCGCCCATCCATTGCAGTGAAACATTAATGTTGGAAAACAGTGTTGGCTATTAAAGACCAAAAACTGTATGATCATGCAAGACTGTCATGGAAGTTCAACACAGCAGGGACAGACTAGGCAAAGGATCATGTAAATGATGCTTCAGCTCAGAGATCAGTTTCTACAGGGTTGGCTAGAGCAGCTGGGCTCACCTGGAAGAAACAAGTTAAGAACATACAAGTTATTTAAATCAGAATTCGATATGGAGCACTGTCTAAAACATGTTAAAATAGAGTAGCACTGCCAAGACTCCGGGTTAGCTGCCACTGTCTGGCAATCGAAACTGCCCATTTTCCCTCTCCCAGTCAATGAAAGGGTTTGTGCTCAGTGTTATGATACTGTGGAAGATTAAATACACTTTCTATGCCAATGCAAATGCAATGAGGAAATAGGAGACATCTTCCAAAATGTAATAATAGCCTACCCAAATATTCCCCACCTATCCCCGTTAGAGAAAACTGTCTTCCTCCTGACGCAGCAAAACCCTGAACTACTGAATGAGCTCGCCGCGTATGTATGCAAATCGTAATAAGACATATAGCCTGGCCTTTAATGTCTATAAATTATTGTACATGGCCAGCAGTCCTTCTGGGGGTTGAATATCAGGTATGCCTACAATAGTGAGAGGGCGGACGACACTTCCGTGGACTAGACGCAGCAGAGTCTCTACCTCGAAGTCTCCTGGAGTGATGTTAGGGCTAGGGCTGGGAACCACATACCCCATTCGTCTCACAGTTGCATCTGTTAACGCATTAGCGAAACAACAGACAAGCAAATCGATTACCGGCAAAATATCTCTCCGGAGGAGGTGGTAAAAAGGAGACTAACCTCTCAGATCAGTTTGACACACTTGGGAGCCACGTAGCCCATTCATCTCGCATTTGCGTTAGTTAAAGTTTTAGATTATGGTAGTGGTCCCGTCATACAGAACAGCATCAGCGCATCTAGGCTCGCCACCGAGATTGTGTTTTGCGACATTTCTTCCTCCAATCGCGAAGCTACACAAGAATGGCTGGATGGCGATACCACAATATTCGACTGGTCTCCTCATTTCCACTACATTGTCAATACCCTGGAAGGAAAAAGCGAGAAAGAGGCCAGGGAGAGAGAGAAGCGCATGAGACAAAAGGTAGCTTATTGTGATGCTCTTTCTGGCATACCCATGGAGAGAGGCGACGAAGGCCCGTACCCATGGAGAGAGGCTACGAAGGCCCGTACGATGTTATTATACAGTGTGGATGTCATGCCCTGATAAGAGCACTGAAGGTGTTGTGCTTATTGCTCAGATGTGGAGGAGTGCTAGTCGATCTATAATATCCACGGAAGCAGCAATGAAACTTCTAACAATGAAACTTGCTGCACACACCTTTGCCACCTTTGGGGGCTATCAAAGTAGCTACTCACAAACATACACTTGTGTTCAACCTGAGTTGCATGTGTGTTTTCTCACCAAACACTTGTTTTAGTATACATAATAATTTGTGTGTACACGTGCAATATTTCGGTGTGCTCCTGGCAGCACTGACCAGGGGTATCTACATAACTTGTGCTCACCGTACATTATGTTGTGTGACGGGACTGTTAAGATTATCTTTGTTTTCACTGCTCCCACCAAAGGTTTACTGTAGTGCAACCCACACACATGTATTTTCCACATCTTTATCAGCTGTATCACAATATATATATATATACTGTGAAGGTCATGGCAACTAATAATAGGTCCATGCCAGAGCAAACAGCAGCATCACAACAAGAGTTGACATAGAGGAAAGGTGGCATTCTTACTGTGCCACCCTCGAGTTTGCCAGGTTCCATCAGCAGTGGTTACAGCTCTCTTTCAGGAACCAGGAGGAATTTGCATGATTTCCTGATGTGCCTTTTTACAAATATCGTCTAGAACATTCTTAACAATCGGGTACATTTCTTCAATAGTTTTCAAAAACACACCTTTACTTACAGCCTGTATTCCCAGTGCCATTTCAGCGTCTTACGATACACTGTGTGTGTAAAGCCAGCTATAATAAATGCTACCTGCACACAACGACTAACGGTATTCTCTTTATACTGGGAGAAAGTTTCCAATACACATCCACTGGAGGCACAACCATTACATGCTTACTTGGTAACATGGACAGGGACTAAATTTCCCGCACATCCAGGAGTTTTGCAACCCCTACAACAATTAACTTGCTCAATAAATTTAA